ATGAGCAAATTATTCTCAATATTTTATCAAAGTGACACTTGTACTTCCACTCGCAAGTATTTAAACCCGTCAGTTAGTGCTAAGGGACAATTATCACGCATTTTAAAGCCACATTAGGGATCCATCAAAAATGTTATATTTGCCATAATGACTTTGCAAACCGAATAGTCACCAAATTGCTGGACTATGGACAGTATTTTATCAATTGCGTGTTGTAGATCTGTCAGATATATTAGCATATCCAGATATAATAAGACTTTTTCTTTCCAGTGTGCCTACCTGACCTCCCTTAATTAATGGGGTACATCTTACGATCTCCCCCAAAGGTTTTATCCCTAGGATAAAAAGAATCGAAGACAACTCCTGCCTAGTTTCCCTCAGACTTGGAATGCGATCCAAAACAATGTCATTTACTCTGATACAAGTTGAAGGTTGCCATATAAAATGATTTTGTTCCAGGTTATAAAAGTGTTTTCAGAGCCAAATATTTTCAATATGCTAATCATAACCATTCAATTGAATCAATAATTTTGTGATTATCCAAAACTACATAGCTTGAGGGATAGAGGAAAAGCATAGGAAATTAAAGTTAGTGAAACGTCTACAAATATTTATGTTTATGGCTGTGCCAAGGATAAACCCAGTCTGGAACGAATTAATCACCTAAACAGTATCTTGGCCAAGATTTTAACATCTCTGTTGATTAACAAGATTGGTCCTTAGGATTCACAATACAATGGGTACTTCTTGGGCTTTGGGATTGTGTTCTCAAAACTTTAGTTGTTCGAAGGTAAGTGAGGAAACAATTTGTCCTTTAATGTGGTATACCATTTGATAGTGAACCTATTGTATCTAGACTTAAGATTTTGTGCTTAGAGAATGTAGCAGCAGTAGGGGAACTGCCAGGATCGCACACTTGTGACCAGGCTCTGGTATTCCACCACTGTAGGGGGGCCCCAAGAGCCTGTGGTTCTCCAGCTGGGTTACTGCCTGCAGTTGCAAGCAGAGAGGGTTGATTATACTCTCTCTCACACTGCCCAGCAGGGCCGCTGATAAGGGGGTATCACCGGTCCTCCTGTACAAGGCCCGGGCCCTTCAGTTCAAGAGGGGGGCCCGAGCAGTTGACAAGTCATTTTCTCACAGAGCCGGATCAGTGGTCTGATGCTAGCTGAGCTCCCACTCTGCTATTCGAGTCTGACTTGCTCATGTTCCCTTGTATTTACCTCTGATTGTAACTTTGTTTTCAGCCTTCCTCCTTCCAGATTCTTGCTATATTCTCTCTCAGATATCGCAGAACCCCCCCCCCCCCCCCCCCCCCATCCCTGCAATGAGGCTCCAATCTTTCTCCCTGATATCTTTGTGACCCAGCATCTCCCTGCACTGCAATCCTTCACTCCTGTCCTCTGTTCCATCCGATCTATCCCTTAGCTCTGCCTCACTGACACCCGACCAACTGTATTCCGTAACTGTAACAACCAACCAACCAACTGTATTCCATTCTGTAGATGTCTTTTATCTTCTACTCCTGTCCTCCGTTCCATCCAATCTATCCCTTAGCTCTGCCTCACACCCGACCAATTGTATTCAGTAACAACCAGCCAACTGTATTCCATTCTGTAGATGTCTTTTATCTTCTCAGCACAGCTTATTGTTATTTATGTAGCTCGGCTTCCCACACCTCTTCCCCAGTCTGGTTCCCTCACTGCTTCAAACCTCTCTTTCCTCTATTCTATACAAATTTGCTTCTCCCCTCACACTGTCATCAACTGTTCCCTCTGCAAATTGATGTGTCATGGCTCAATTCCTTTTTAGCTGTTAACTAACTGATCTACAGTAGTTAATGTGTCCCATTTCCTATCACCTACAGGCAGCTCAGATCTAGCATTATTACGATTCCTAATTGAATCTCACCACTAGTCCAATTGCATCCACAATTCCAAGTCAGTCCTGTTCTCTTACCTATAGTGCCCCTTCACATATATGTGGATTGGATGCTGTTTGAACCGCATCCAATCCGCATGACATGTGAAAAAGCATTGCTTCCTATGATGGCTGTTCACATATGTCCGGTGCACTGGCCATTGCGGATTCAGTGCGGTTTTTTTTTTTAAATGTCCTGAATTCTTTCCTAGATACACAGAATATAACTGGATACTAACATTTATAGGTAAATTGATCCAGGAAATATCCGATTTCCTCTCGGGGGATCAGGAAATAATTTTTTTCTCTGCAGGAGCAAATTGGATCATGCTTTGCTTGGGTTTTTCTGCCTTCCTCTGGATCAACTGTGGGTATAGGATTATAACTTTTTTTTTTTTTTGGTTGAACTGGATGGACTTTTGTCTTTTTTCAGCCAGACTAACTGTGTAACTATGTAACAATTTCTGAGCAGCATGGTCTGGTTACAGGCTATTGACTTCTATGAGAACCATTCCTAAACCGCATATGTGTGAACATGATAATCCTTAGAGCCAATCCTGTCCTGAACCTGACGTAAACCTGACGTGAACCTGCGAACAACTACTATATCAATTAGCTATGAAACCTGAGCTTCAATCCACACCGCACTTGTGTGAATCAGCTTTTAGGGCTTGTTCACACCACTTGTGGTACAGGAACGTACACAAGAACATGCATTTTCCCACACTGCAAAGGAAAGCACTGCCCTCTGCAGATGTGCTCAGGTGCCATGAATTCTTATGGCACCTCTACACATCTAGCAAATACAGATGCATTAACAGCCACCAAAATGCATGTTACCAGAATACCATGTGGTTTGGTGCAGCTCATTTATAAAAATCATGCCTACAGTATTTTTTGCAGATTTCCATGTGTTTGACAGCCCACTGAAATAATGGGCTATACAATAAAAAATGTAAGAATTGGCACATGCATGAATAAGTGGTTTGTTCATGCAGCTGGAGCCACCTGTTACACTATGGACTCAGCAGCTGTATGAACACAGCCATAGGTTTTAATCTGACAGGTGTGCAGGAGTGGTGCAGTGGCCATGAACACACAGTGTCTGTGCTTAGAGCTGTACACCTATACCTACATGCTTGTCAAAGTAGGACCGGTGGCTGTGTTCATACAGCTGCTGCATCCCCATAGTATAACCTAGACTGCCTCCACACAGCTCTATCCACATAAACAAAAAGCTGATTCCCAAGGTACAGGCCACAATGCCCATGTGGATGACCCCAAGACCTCATTTACACACAGAGCTTGTTTATTACCTTAATACAGTTTTATCTTTAGATTTAGCAGGAATTTTGGCATGTTTGTGTACACTAATAAAAATGTTAGTATATTTTTTAGTAAAAATATCATTTTGATCATTTCTGGAGAGAGGGGCCCTATCAGGTAGGCTGTATGGGGCCCCGTGATATCTAACAGAAGCCCTGCTGCCCAGACGCCCCCCTATACTCCGCGGCTAGACTCATCCACCTCACTGTCAGGGCTCCCAGGTGTGACCAGAGGTGTGTGACTGACGCAGGGAAACGCAGACTTCAGATATGTTATAAACAATATACTTTATTAACACTAACAATACAAACATAAACGCAGTGCAATACTAAACATAATACAGTGCAAACAAACCAAACCAACCACCCACAGATAACAGTACATACAAGCAAGCGTCGTCAGGCAGGCCGGGTCAATATCAATTGGGCAGGTAGGTACAGGGGGAGCAAGCGGAGATTGGTCGGGGTCACAGGCCAGGTTCAGCAGGTAGCTAGCAGCGTAGTACAGAGGGTCAGGCAGAGGGATGGTCAGGGTCACAAGCCAGGGATCAGAACAGGTAGCAGGCAGCGTAGTACAGAGGGTCAGGCAGAGGGATCGTCAGACAAGCCAGGGATCAGAGCAGGGTCAGCAGAGAATCAGACAGGAACAGAGAGCAGGAACAGGATACAGGGCCCAAGAGAAACACAACACCAAGGCAGAGTCTGCAAGTCTGGCCATCCCTTAAATACCCCAGCATAATCAGTTCCAGGTGTTAGCTGGCTGCAAAGTTGAGTCTCTGATTGCTGGGAGCACCCGCTGGCCAGCCCTGGTACTGCAGATCAAAAGGCAGGTGAGTCCCACCATTGCTGGCTAGTCCATTCCTGACAGTACCCCCCCCTCAAGGAGCGGCCTCAGGACGCAGGACAGTCCGGGCAGCTGGGCAAAATGGGCAGGACTCCGGGCAGGGGCACACCGGGCAGAGGCACATTGGGCAAGGGCACACCGGGCAGAGGCACATTGGGCAAGGGCACACCGGGCAGAGGCACATCGGGCAAGGGCACACCGGGCAGAGGCACATCGGGCAAGGGCACACCGGGCAGAGGCACATCGGGCAGGACTCCGGGCAGAGGCACATCGGGCAGGACTCCGGGCAGAGGCACATCGGGCTGGACTGGACTCCGGGCAGAGGCACATCGGGCTGGACTCCGGGCAGAGGCACATCGGGCTGGACTCCGGGCAGAGGCACATCGGGCTGGATCGGGCAGAGGCACATCGGGCTGGACTCCGGGCAGAGGCACATCGGGCTGGACTCCGGGCAGAGGCACATCGGGCTGGACTCCGGGCAGAGGCACATCGGGCTGGACTCCGGCAGAGGCACATCGGATTACCAGGCGAAGCAGCAGGCAGCGGGCCACCGGGCGGAGGCGGCAGGCACCGGGCCCCCGGGCGGGGCGGCAGGCACCGGGCCCCCGGGCGGGGCGGCAGGCACCGGGCCCCCGGGCGGGGCGGCAGGCACCGGGCCCCCCCCGGGCGGGCGGCAGGCACCGGGCCCCCGGCGGGGCGGCGGCAGGCACCGGGCCCCCGGGCGGGGCGGCAGGCACCGGGCCCCCGGGCGGGGCGACAGGCATCGGGCCCCCAGGGCGGGGCGACCGGCATCGGGCCCCAGGCGGGGCGACAGGCGCCGGGCCCCCAGGAGGGGCGACAGGCATCGGGCCCCCAGGCGGGGCGACAGGCATCGGGCCCCCAGGCGGGGCGACAGGCATCGGGCCCCCAGGCGGGGCGACAGGCATCGGGCCCCCAGGCGGGGCGACAGGCATCGGGCCCCCAGGCGGAGCGACAGGTCTCGGGCCCTCAGGCGGAGCGGCGGGCGCCGGACCCCCAGATGGAGTGACAGGTCTCGGGCCCCCAGGCGGAGCGACAGGTCTCGGGCCCTCAGGCGGAGCGGCGGGCGCCGGACCCCCAGATGGAGCGACAGGTCTTGGGCCCCCAGGCGGAGCGGCGGGCGCCGGACCCCCAAGTGGAGCGACAGGTCATCGGGCCCCCAGGCGGAGGGCGACCGCATCGGGTCCCCAGGCGGGGCGGGCGCCGGGCCCCCAGGAGGGGCGACAGGCATCGGGCCCCCAGGCGGGGCGACAGGCATCGGGCCCCCAGGCGGGGCGACAGGCATCGGGCCCCAGGAGGGGCGACAGGCATCGGGCCCCCAGGCGGAGCGACAGGTCTCGGGCACTCAGGCGGAGCGGCGGGCGCCGGACCCCCAGATGGAGTGACAGGGCGGAGCGACAGGTCTCGGGCCCCCAGGCGGAGCGACAGGTCTCGGGCCCTCAGGCGGAGCGGCGGGCGCCGGACCCCCAGATGGAGCGACAGGTCTCGGGCCCCCAGACGGCAAGCGGCGGGCACCGAGTCACCAGGCACGACAGGGGGCACCGAGTCGTCTGGCAAGACTGCGGGCACCGAGTCGTCTGGCAAGACTGCGGGCACCGAGTCGTCTGGCAAGACTGCGGGCACCGAGTCGTCTGGCAAGACTGCGGGCACCGAGTCAACTGGCGGAACAGCGGGCATCGAGTCAACTGGCGGAACAGCGGGCATCGAGTCAACTGGCGGGACTGCGGGCACCGAGTCGTCTGGCAAGACTGCGGGCACCGAGTCAACTGGCAAGACTGCGGGCACCGAGTCGTCTGGCAAGACTGCGGGCACCGAGTCGTCTGGCAAGACTGCGGGCACCGAGTCGTCTGGCAAGACTGCGGGCATCGAGTCAACTGGCGGAACAGCGGGCACCGAGTCGTCTGGCAACTGCGGGCACCGAGTCGCGGCACTGCGGGCACCGAGTCGTCTGGCAAGACTGCGGGCACCGAGTCGTCTGGCAAGACTGCGGGCACCGAGTCGTCTGGCAAGACTGCGGGCACCGAGTCGTCTGGCAAGACTGCGGGCACCGAGTCAACTGGCAAGACTGCGGGCACCGAGTCAACTGGGGCACCGGAACAGCGGGCATCGAGTCAACTGGCGGAACAGCGGGCATCGAGTCAACTGGCAGGTAACTGCGGGCATCGAGTCAACTGGGTCACCTGCGGGCACCGAGTCGTCTGGCAAGACTGCGGGCACCGAGTCGTCTGGCAAGGCAGTGGGCACCGGGTCACCAGGTATGACAGCGGGCTCTGAGTCAATTGGCACGACAGCGGGCACTGGATCAGGTACCGGATCATCTGGATCAACAGCGGGCATCGAGTCAACTGGCCTAATAGGATCGTCGGGCTGGATCAGTTCATCATGCTGAGTAGCGGCATCAGGCTGAATGCAGGCATCAGGCCGAGTAGAGGCTTCAGGCTGAGTAGAGGCTTCAGGCTGAGTAGAGGCTTCAGGCTGAGTAGAGGCTTCAGGCTGAGTAGAGAGGCATCAGGCTGAAGAGAGGCATCAGGCTGAAGAGAGGCATCAGGCTGAAGAGAGGCATCAGGCTGAAGAGAGGCATCAGGCTGAAGAGAGGCATCCGGCTGAAGAGAGGCATCAGGCTGAAGAGAGGCATCAGGCTGAAGAGAGGCATCCGGCTGAAGAGAGGCTTCAGGCTGAGTAGAGGCTTCAGGCTGAGTCACGGAAGGCAGGTTCACCGGTTTGGATACTGGCAGGATGGTATTGGTTGGAAAGAATTTTCGCTTTTTTCTGGTTTTAACTACTGGAGCACTGCAAGTAAACGCAGGTCTGCAAACGAATGGAGCAGCTGGAGACAGAGAAAAACTGGAGGATGGAACAGGAGAGGGAGCAGTTGCTACAGAGGGCTTTTTTACAGGGTTAAAGGCAGGATAGGTGCAGCGAGTGGGAACAGGGTACTGACATGCGGTAGATAGCCAAGTATACTGGGCTGTAACTGGAGGAGCTGGTGGGAATACAGGAGTAGAGTTAGAAGCAGGACTGGGTTTTTGTAAGCTGACTGAGGCTGGGTGCAACAAGTCTGTCCATGTCTGCAGTATGGGTTGAACAAAGCTGAGCTTACACAAAGCCTGTCTGGTCAATGACTGCACTGCGTTTATACAATCTCTTAGTGTCTGTGGTGAACATGTGGAATAACGCTCCAGAAAGTAACCCACATCATCCTCTAATAACCACACCAGGGACTCTACCTGGTCTGCACTAAATGGTGGCAAAAATTCATCCCTGCATTTGGGGGAACCAGATGAAACCAACTCAGCACAAACCTCAATCAAAGGCTGCACCTCAGAGAACTCTGTGCCCTGATCTACTAGAACATGAGCGAGCCGTATACATTCTAGTAGTTGATCCCGGGTATACTCCTTCAGAGTTTGATAAGCATACTCCCTGTCATCAAACACTAGCAGATATAAATACACAACCTCATCCAGATCCATCCTTCCCAGCAACAAGCCAAGATGGCTTCCCTGTGCAGCCACTTCTGGTCAGGATTGGCCTTGGTGTAATGTCAGGGCTCCCAGGTGTGACCAGAGGTGTGTGACTGACGCAGGGAAACGCAGACTTCAGATATGTTATAAACAATATACTTTATTAACACTAACAATACAAACATAAACGCAGTGCAATACTAAACATAATACAGTGCAAACAAACCAAACCAACCACCCACAGATAACAGTACATACAAGCAAGCGTCGTCAGGCAGGCCGGGTCAATATCAGTTGGGCAGGTAGGTACAGGGGGAGCAAGCGGAGATTGGTCGGGGTCACAGGCCAGGTTCAGCAGGTAGCTAGCAGCGTAGTACAGAGGGTCAGGCAGAGGGATGGTCAGGGTCACAAGCCAGGGATCAGAACAGGTAGCAGGCAGCGTAGTACAGAGGGTCAGGCAGAGGGATCGTCAGACAAGCCAGGGATCAGAGCAGGGTCAGCAGAGAATCAGACAAGAACAGAGAGCAGGAACAGGATACAGGGCCCAAGAGAAACACAACACCAAGGCAGAGTCTGCAAGTCTGGCCATCCCTTAAATACCCCAGCATAATCAGTTCCAGGTGTTAGCTGGCTGCAAAGTTGAGTCTCTGATTGCTGGGAGCACCCGCTGGCCAGCCCTGGTACTGCAGATCAAAAGGCAGGTGAGTCCCACCATTGCTGGCTAGTCCATTCCTGACACTCACCAACCACTCCACATCTGTCTCCCCCCTCTGCCAATCCCTTCATTGGCTCCCGATTGCCCAACGCATCAAATTCAAACTGCTAACTCTGACCTACAAAGCCATTCACAATGCCGCCCCAAACTACATAACTGACCTGATACCCAAATACTACCCTACCCGTGCCCTCCGCTCCTCACAGGACCTCTAGCTCCCTGGTCTCCTCCTCCCATGCCCGATTGCAGGACTTCTCCAGAACTTCCCCCATCCTCTGGAACTCCCTACCCCAATCCATCAGACTGTCGCCTACCCTCCTCACCTTCAGGCGCACCCTGAAAACCCTCCTCTTTCAGGGATGCCTACCCCAACCTCACCTAACACCCGACCTCACCTAACAACTAACCTCCTCCACTCCTCCCACCACTCCATCCCCCACAGCCATCTCCTCCTGTGCCACCTTCCCCTCCCTCCTAGATTGTAAGTTTGAAAGAGCAGGGTCCTCGAACCCTCATGTATTGTATTGTTACTGTCTTTTCTCATGTTCTGTCCCCCTTGCTATTGTACAGCGCTGAGCATACCCTTTGGCGCTATATAAATACTGTATAATAATAATACCCTGCACGGATTGGAGAGGAGAGAGATGAAGCGCTGCTCCTTCTCCCGCCCCTCTCCTCCTATGTCTACTCCGCCCACATTCCAATCCCTGGCAGTACTATGCCTCAGAAAGGGGATGCGGGTGGGAAATCTAAAGCCCAGCAGCCAGCAACTACATTGTGGAGGAAAGATGCAGACTGCCTGAGTCTCTATCCGGGGGTGAGTGAGCTCACCATCCACTGTTACTGGCATCTCCCTCCCTTCTCCCCCCTGCCTCTGAGTATACTACGGTAAAAGAGACTCAGATGTAAGGGGTGCTCTGCTGTTAGAGTTTCTCTGGAATAAAAATTCTATTTTATCATTTCTATAATTATGATCTATGAGACCAGATTCCGATTAGGCTCAGAGACAAATGTCACATTAACATGTAACTTTCCCAAGAGACAGGAAATGGCTCAATTTGGTCTGTAAACAATTTGTGGATGAGTTAATTAAAGACAAGGACCCTTATAGTCTCTGAATGATGGAGTTTCTGGTATTCACACAAAATCTGGAACAAAAGAGAAACTGGGCTATGTTAGGAGATGTTTTAACTCACAAACATGCTATTGTGGATGAGACAATGTCTGTTTGCTCAGGTGAAGGAAGGTCAACATTCTTGGATACACCAGAAAAATGGCAGTAATTCTCTAGTGTTCCACTAAATGAAAGACATTGGGAAACGTTTCTCTATAGCCAATGTTTTGAGGACAAGATAATTCAAATCCCATTGTATTATTACTGTTAACTTTGCAGACATTTTTCAATGTATATAAAATCCATACAAGATACGTACAGTATATGAACTCAGTCATGATTATTATTATGTTTATAGGTGATTGCAGGCTTTGCACTAAGAAACACGTGCATTTCATTATCTGATAAGATGAAACCATTGACACTGTTGGGGTTCATTTATTTTTGGTAAAAGGGCACAAAAAAGAACATCACTGTTTCCATAGATATACTGATATACGAAAGACGTGATTATGATGAAATATCATATGATTTAAAAAGGGAAGCTATAATCTCATTATATTTTTGGTTTGTTGTAATCATGATAGTATTGTTTGAACTGTCAGTATTATAATGTAGCCATACCCCAGTGGTAGTTTAAAGTTTGCAAATTATTTTATGTGTATCCTAATATTTAATTATGAAATTATGCCATCTCTATAGCTAAAAATTTCCATTCAAATGCTGCTACACCCAAAAGAGTAAATACCACAAATTAAAAGGCTGCCAATCAACGGGGCATTTAATGTTTTCAGATAAACTAACATAGGTGAATATTTTACCGAATGACTAATGTATGAATGAGTTATTATAGAAAATTAGTTCTCCTTGAAAATCTTAGGATATACATTTTTAGTCCCAGGGTGCCATCTGGTAGTCAGGTCAGTTATTGATTGATTACACAAAACATTAATCAATTAGGGTTTTGGTCTTCCAATGAGAAATAAGGTTACACCCTCTGGGCAGGGTCTCAAGAGTTGTATTATTTGCAACTAAATAACACTGTTCAACAAATTTTTATTTTTTGCCAGTTTTGGAAACAAAAGGATCCATTTCTTAATGAATTTCACATTCTGAGTTCAAATATAACAATGAAATTTGTCAATTGGCTCTAGTTTTTCTGTAAACGGAAAGTTTTCTACTATAGGCGTAATGACTACATAATGCACAATAATTATATAGATAGATGTCTTTCCACAAATATAAAGCAAGTGATATTGACTACATAACAAAGCCTAAATGGCATAATATATTGCATAGGATTACCAAGAAAAATTATAGCCATAAGCTAAGTTGAATCATTTTAATACTTAGGATTCTCACTAGTTTTGTCTTCAGTTTGTGTCGGTTTTGCTTTTCTTGGCTTTTCTCTTGTATTCGAGGAAAGGGCTATCTCTTACAACTGCGCGTGACTACACGCTTCAGGTTCTTCCTCACTTGACTCAACCACGAAGGATTCTGGTGCTTTAGGAATTGGTAGCCCCTCTCCATGAGGAACTGGACGTATTGCCGATGGAATATTTGGATAGTGCACAGATAACTTTTTCTTCTTATTTAGCCCTTTTACAATTGGAGGCACCATACAAAAGTAACAATTACTAACATGATCTGTTGGCTCTCTCCAAATCATTGGCACAGCGAAAGGCATAGATGCCTTTTTTCCATTCAACCATTGCTCCAGTGCCGTCCCACAAGAATTGCAGCATATATGTGGTGCCCAGCTCTTGTCCTGGTCTCCTATCTTGCAGCCAAAATACAAGTTGTAGGCTTTCTTAATCATTCCTGTTATCCTCCTTTTTTGTGAGATAAAAGTTATTTCACCGCAGATATAGCAGAAATTATCTGCTTTATTCACACAAGTTCGAGGCATTACTGAGTAGCCTATATAAGCATAAAACGAAATGTAAAGACGCTGTCGAACTACAATCAGCTACAGATACTGCAGCTTTTATGCAGTGAAGTGATGCAATTAAAGGCTAATATTGCATCATCTCAGTATACATGCAATTTTCTATTGGTCACCAGTATCAATTGCGCAATATGCAGCTGAAGTTGCATCATAATTTTGAATGGCTTACGTCATTAGATGGGTGAATATATCATGGAAACTAGAGCCAATCAACATTTTTTAGGGTCATTTTCGTTTTCAGCACCCCAAAATTATGTAAGATTAGCTAATTTTATGCCCAAAACTTTTTACCTGTTGAACAGTGTAATTGGCAAGTTAGGTAGACAGAGAGAGACACACCTCTTTACTCATCGGATCATCATCACAGACCTCATCATCAAGAGACAGATCATACATCACACAATGTCTCATATGCCCATCATCTATAGGGAATTTTCACACATCTCATTGAAGATCCAGAGACTTCACATCTGACACATGCTTCATTGAAGCCAGGTGGTTTCCCACTGACAGATGAATGTAAAAAAAAAATTGCCAGAAATGTAAATTTAAGAGAAAAAAAAACAGCGTGAGGTCCTTCCCCCTATCTATACCAGGCTCTTCAAGTCTGGTATGGATTTTAAGGGGAACACCACAATTAAAAAAAAAAAGCGTGGGGTCCTCTCAAGAATCCATACCAGACCCCGTATAGCTAGGCAATCAGGGTAATGCTTCCATTACATTTATTTATCAATAACTCTGTGTCACTGTTGGAAGGCAACATTGTTTTTTTAGACATTTATGAATTTTTACTGATTAAGGGCCATCTTCCTTGCATCATGGAACACCAAGCAAATCAGTTGGCACAGCAGGGTGTTTGTAACAAGGGGTCAAAAATGGGAATTCATATCCCAAAGGATGTTCTTACATAGGCCCCCCAATGTAATATGTGGGGGTAGAGTAGCATCAGCCCGAACCACAAAGAAACCTTTCATGGTGTGTTTCGAGCATCATCCCAAACCTTCTGGTGATGTGAAAAATCAAAATGACTGATTTCCTGACTTGTAACAACATCAAAGGGGGGCAGATGTGAGCTGAGATGCTGACATGGGTCAAGAAGATTCATGGCAATATAGCAGTGCCCCCGGTGGAGACAACGACATACGTCCTGGAGGATTCAAGGTAACACATTACTTTCTGGTGATTAGAAACCTTAGTCCCTTATAATTTATGGATAATAGCTCATTAGATAGAGGACTATATAGGCCGGGCAGAAGGCATTGAATGGGTGTTGCTTGTGAGTGGTATAAAATGCAAGGGCCAGCCATTATCCCTTCCTCTTTCTATCAAGAGCCCAGCCAAAGATACTCAACATCAAGGACGAACTTACATAACATATCATCTCTGCTCTTTTGCGTCTATATATATTCTGTAATATCCACTTAGATTTCTGTTAGTGTTTTACCCTCTTTGTAAATAAATAAGACCGTTGCTTCTTTGACCATTGTGTTTATTATTATAGCTGATATTGTAATATATTACTACCAAGTACAGTATATTGTCAGAGCTTAGATATACTAGCTAATTATAGGGACTGACAAGATAGTGCTCATAATTTTAATATAAGAAGGGTGAAATCCAAGACCGCCCCCTATTTATTTCAGTCCCACTGAGTATGCTGGTCCTTGGGCTGAATCTCTTCCCAGTCATATTTTGTAGTCCTCTCTCTTGCAGCTTTCAACTCTGCCTGCCCATTTTCCACCATTGCCATTGAGCAAACTGGGATTCAGGGAATTCAGCAGTGCCAGCTAGCAGGGTGGTGCTGTGCTGGCA